GGTTTGTTAACACCACTTCCTTTCCCCCACCTCTCCCCCTCCTATGTTCCCCTGGAACCTGAAGCACCCAGTCAGGAATGTAAGCACAGGCCGAATTGTGCTTACTGACCAATGAAGGTGTGGTGAACCCATGTGTAATGGGTCACTGCAGATTGGTAAGTAAGCATGAGTCAGCCTGTACATACCTTGCCGACTGGGCCATCGCCCCTGCCTGGAGGCCGCCCAACATCGAGGGCTCTGGGATGGAATTTAGGATTGTCGAAGCTACGCGCCCCAGTCCACGCCGCTGCCTCACAAGGCTGGCACCTCTGGGTGACACCCCTGTCCAGGAGTCTTCCCCTCCACACCCACGTCCTTGGACTCCCTTGCTCCTCAGCTGGCTGCCCAAGATTTACCGTTCCTGCCTGCCAGGCCTCCTGGTCCCATCTGTCCTGGGCTCAGAGATGACCTCCCTGACCAATGTCCCCCCTCCAAATTCTGCCTCATCCCATGCTCCTTCACTTAGAGGAAGCACAGTTGGCCAGGGGAAGCCTGCACCGAGCCAGGACCTGCCACCCCAGCCAGCCCTCACCTGGCTGAGCTGAAAAAACACAGCCGGGCTAGTGTTTGGAGGCTCTGCAGGGCCCTGGGCAGGTGGCGCCTCTCAAAGCTGAGACCATGATGCAGAGCTCCCCTCGGGGGTCTGCTTCACACTGTGCATTTGGCTCTGGGGACTTCATTTTTCTGGCGGGCAATGTCTTAGCGGAGCTTGTTGGCAGCGTTTTAAAATGTCTTCACAGCAGCACACCCTCTTCTTAAAAGAATGCCCGCTCCGTTGTGCCCCCACAAGTCCTCTCTGCAGCAAGCAATAGCCAAGGAGTCTTGGGGCCTCCCCCGTCACCGCCTTGGCCTGCTGTTACTGGAGATCGGTCCTCACAGTGGCCATGAACGTCCCTCTCTGAGGGTCAAGGAGATAAGGGCACATGCTTTTAGAAGGAGTCCTAGAGCTCCCCTGGACTCCTGGGAGCCCTGGGTGGTGCAGGGAGTTAGTTACATGCGTGGCTGGAGGTTCAAGTCCACGCAGAGGGGCCTTGGAAGAGAGGCCTGGTGGTCGACTTGGCTAACCAGCTATTGACAACTCAATGGTGCTCAGTTCTCCTCTGACCCCGTAGGGTCACCTGGAGTCGGAATTGACTTCACTGTGGGGTTGGCCTCGTGCAGATGCTCGCTAGCAAAGCCTGTAGGGGCCGCTGCCAGGCGAGGTTTGTGGTCCTCCGTCTCACCAGCAACTTGCCCGGCTCCGGCTGTGGTTGTTATGGCAATCTGGCCCCACTCTGAGAAGTCATCATGGTGCATCAATAGCGAGTCCGAGAGCCCACGCCTGCAGCAGCTGGAGGGCTCCACTCGTGTCGAGTGGGGGAATTCACTCAGAGTTCGGTTTGGGACTCGCGCTGGGCTGGGTGAGACAGAATGGCTCAGTCGGCTGGTGGCGCCCACCCTGGACATGGGGTGAGGCAGCGAGCCACCAGGCTCCCTGTTGCCGTCCCTTCCCGAAAGCTAACTGGCAGCCAAGCTGGGCTCTGGAGGCCCCTGGCTTTGGAGTCTGGTGGCCCAAAGACTTGAACCTGGGAAGGACAGCCTGCTCTCTGCGTGGGAGGAGGAGCCCGCGGAAGCCCAGTCACCCCAGGGACGTGCCTGGAAAGGCAGACTTCGGGCAGACTGCAGGTTCTGGTCGAGAGCCCGATCCCCACCTCTCAGCAATGAAGCA